AGCTAACCACCTCTTTTTTGTAAATACAATATCAGTGAAATACTGTCACACAGACTTGCTACTGTGTTAGTCAGCTTTGGATTATTGTATCAAAAATGAGAGATAATCAACTTATGGAAGTGTTTCATTCACCTTTCTTATCCCTGGGACAAAACACTCAGCACCTATAATGTAAAAGAGGTATATCAACAACGGTGTTCTCTTTTCCCCCAACTTGCAAGTTCTTTCTTTCTAGTAACCCTACAAACTTTCCATATCTTTCAGTTCTAAATTTTGCTATCCATTTTTACTGTAGATCTGGATAAATGCCACTAATAGTGCCCACATCACAACCTGAACTTTGGGCTGTCTTGAAATATTTTCCACCAGATTAATTAGTGCACTACCATTAAGTTCAGCCTCAAGTGAAATCTGAGGGCCTGGGAAAATAAAGACATACATTTCCATAATGTAACATGGCCTGTAGATAAGTTTCCAAGGTAGTCCTTATTGCCAATGAAATTTCTTGGGTCTGACCTTTATTGTCCACATTCTTATCAGTAGTCTTGTCTTCAGAGCTCTGACCAGATTCATCTATCAAGCTCTGCTTGCAGCAAGGTAGAGCTTCTCTATCCCATTTGTCTTGTTTTCCAAACTCTTCTCACAACTATGTTCCTAAGGTTTCTGAACCCTATGGTCACGTACAATAACAGAAATGATTCTGCTTTGGGTACCAATTTCATGTATCAGTAGGCTTTCACATTGCTGGAAAAAAACACCCAACACCTGTAACTTTATGGAGGAAAGGCTTATTTTAGCTCACAGTCTCAGTGTGTACAGCTCATTGTTGGCTGGTTTCAAGACAGAAACAACATGGTGGAAGGGGCCGCCAGACAAAGACTTGTTGTTTCGTGATGGCCAGGAAGCAGAGAGAAAAGGGACAAGGATGTGTCCTTCCATGTCATGTCTCCAGGGACCAATCACTCTGACCAGTCCCCATCTCCTAACATAAGTCTTTTTGAGGCTATTTCAGATCTAAACCACAATAAAGAGGAAAAGTTTATTTTGGCTCACTGCTTTGGAAAGTATTGTTCAATGAGTTACAAACCTCACTGATTTTGGGCCTGTCGTTTGGCAGCATATCATGGCAAGAAGCATACGACAAAGTGAAGTCACATAACTCAAGTATCCAGGAAGGAAAAAGAGCAAGCAAAAAACTGATATCCCTTGGTTGCTTTCAAAGGAATCCCTCCAGTAACCCAAAGCCCCCGATGAGCTCTTAACTCTTAAATATTTCCATCACCTTTTATGAGTGCTAATCTGAGGAGCAAACCTTTTAATGCACAGGAATTTGGGGACATTCCATGTACAAATGATATGGTTTCTGCACAGATAATGGCTACTTCCATGCTACAATAGAACAGTAGCTTAGTCTCAATTAAGAGAGTATGGTCTACAAAACCTACACACATTATTATCTTTTCCTTTGCTAAAAAGTTTGCCAACATCTAGTTTGGCGTATAAAAGAAAGCAATATACAATATATTTTATTACCTATTATATATGCTTATTTTCATTTTAAAGTAACAAAACAGTTGGATTTTAGAACTCTTTCTCTGCTTGTTCTTTTTCCAGCAATTGAAATATGTCCTATGTTCACTTACATCTGTAGAAGGTAAAAATAAACAATAATTTATATAGATTTATTTTTTGAGTCAATAATTAGATTGACTGTGCAGATATAATAACAACAAAGGTCACTTGCTTTCTAGTACTTAGGTGAAATTTGTTTTGCCAGGTCTGGGGGGTATGTCCTGATGAAGACTTTACATGGTAATACCCTCAAGCTTAAGCCTTGAATTTGCTCTCAGGATAGCCTTCAAATGAGGTTAAAACTATTTGTTTCCATTCTTCAAAATGAAGTGGATCCTTGCAAGTGTGAGGTTATGAGTTCAATTTCCGGTACCAAAACAAAACACAAAATGAAGTGGAAAATTGACCTATTAAAATCACTTATTTTAGTATTGAAATAATTTTTATATTTATTAAATACATATTTGTAAATATATGAGATAAATTATAGGGTTTATCTCATATAAATGCTAGGGCTTTTTGTTAATATACCTTAAAATACAAACTATATATACGCTGAAGTCCTTTATGCAAAATGGCATAGGTTTTCCATATAACCTATTCATATGCTCTAGTATATGGCTGTACCATTTCTAGATTACAAGACAAATCATTTCTAGATTACCTAGAATTTTTAATAGAATGTGAATGGTACGCCAATAAGGGCTATGCAGTAATTCTTAGGGAATACTGAGAAGAATAAAAACTCTGACCATGTTTTATACAGGCACAAAATTTTCCCAGTATTTTCCGTCTGAAATTTGCTGAATCAAAGAACCCGTGGCTAGGGAGAGCTGATTGTATATAAGTATAAATTGTCCAAATATAAATTATATGGCTACACACAATAAAAATAGTAATCTTTATTATATATACAAATAAAGCATTTCTCCCAAGATGTTTAGGCTACAGGAAAATGTTAGAAATTTCACATGAAGAAATTGTATTTATGAACACATGCACACATGCGTGGGTGTGTGTGCATTCATACCATGGTGTATGAGTGTATGTGTTGTGTTGGTACCAACCATAAAGTAGATTTTATTGTATAAGAGGCTTTCAACTGAACATTGTGGATTGTAGGTGTTAGAGAAACTGATCTTGCCTGAGAAGGTTGTTTAGTAGGGAAGATCCTCATTGTGTGGGGTAGTTTGAAAAGACAGTAAAAATGTCTTAGATTTCATTCCAGGAAACGTCACAAAGAGGAAGGTCAAGTAGTACTGTGGGTAGGTCATTACATCCAGGAATTCAGTCAGTGTGTGTGAGGTCAGGATTCTGGGAGGTCTGTCTATGTAGGAAAGAAAGCCAACAAGTAGGTTTGAAAAGGAATGATTTGGCCCTGGGTGGCACATGGAAAGTCAGAGGCAAATTATATATCTGGGCATTGGTTTCCCAACACATGGATTGGGTCTCAAGGCATGAATCCAGCCTCCATAGGGAATGGGTTACAGAGTAGAGTGAAAACCTTTCCAGTGATGACCATCAAGAAGCTAAAGAATGATGGCAAATTGAGGACTGACCCCGGGCAGAGACATCGCCAATCTGAAGTGCTAAGATATTTCAGAGAAATCCTGATTTGCATGTCCTAGATGCGGAATCATTTGAAATTCCTTACTTCTTCAGAGCTAAAACGAGCTTCCTCTCTCAGAATGGGTCTAAGAGTTGTGTCTGCTCTAAACTTTGGAGCTGATCAGAAGACACAAAAGAAAGCAGGGGACAGTATTCATGGAATTACCTTTAGAGCTCTCAAACCCACCTGGATTACACAACTTAATCCAGTCCGTTTGGAAAAGGAAGAAGGGTAACCAGGATGGTTCCAGGCAAATTTTGTACTAAGTGAGCTAAAAAGTCATAGTTCAGCCAGGTGTGGTGGTGCACTACTGTAATCTCAGCACTCCCGAGGATGAGGCAGGAGGATCGTTGTGAGCTTGAGACCAGCCAGGACTACAAAGTGAGCTCAAGGCCAGTCTGAACTGCATAGTGAGACCCTGTGTCAGAAAGACGAAAAAAAAAAAGTCAGAGCTGAAAAGTCCTGTCACAAGATTATTTCTTGTCATTCTCAAATCAGTATCCCAAATCATGAGAATCCCATCCGTGAACTCAGTAAAACCCAGAGTGACTTTAGTTTGTCAGGCTGAATTGTATCTTTTGTGTTCTGGCTTTTAATTTCTTCCTATTGTGTCTATTTCATACTAGATACTATGTTAACACCTACACGGTAACTCTCAATTTATTCCAGGTACTCACGGTATCATAGGCATTTCTGATCATTGATGCACCCTGTTTTAGTGACTCTGCAGTAAATTTTCCAATCTCTTCCACAGACACATTGATGACATTTTTTTTAATTTCATGTAAATTACAGATGTAAAATTTAAATTGATAGAATGTTAATATGCTCATGTAAGAAAATACTAAATTTTATAGCTTAGGAAGAGATATAAGAAATAAAGTCAGATTAGGTGGATCTTGTCTGCAGTATAGACAATGAAGATCATTTTTCAAAGCCTAAAAATCTTTTAATCCTGGAAAAAATTAATGAAATTGAGACATTAGATAAAAATATAATGGCAGAATAACTGTTTGTTTTCAGCTTGACCACAGTAGAGGTTTACATCTAAATGGTTCATAAACATAAATTTGACCAAGGAATCCAGATTATGTAAGGTTTGTGGTTGACTAGTTCATTACATAAGAGACTAATTACTAATTTATATTCTTTAGCTATATTTTGCAACATGTGCTTTGGAGCTGGTGGTTTCTGGCATGATTTCAGATAGTACACTGATGGAGACTTAAAAACATATTTAGATATTAATTATAAATTTGAAAAAACATAATTGTCACATTAAAATCGTATTTTAAGTAGTTGTCCAAAGAGTCTTTCATTTTTCTTTTTGCTTTAACATATAAGTACATTTAAAGTGAAGTGTTAAGCATACAATAAAACATGAGATGTAAAGATTTGGAAAAACATATGACAATTACATGAAACTAATTGGAATTTTAGAAACTGTAAAATAGAATGCCAAAACGAATATACCTTTAAAAAGAATACACCTTTAAAAGGTCCAGCGTTCACCTTAACCATTGGAATACTTCTCTTGTGCTTCAAATATTTGTAAGTTAAATTGGAAATCAGGAAGTTGGCTGGTAAGAGTAGACTCAAGCAAGGCATTAGGCTAGTTTTGATAACTGTATTGGCAAGGACTTGTAAAAATCTAGAATCCATTGGATCAATGCAGTCTCATTCTTTCTTTGATTTTGGACATGTTGTAGATATTTTAAAAATTATTGAGTTCCCCCTGCATTACCAAGTAATGGCTGCTATATAGGTTGCGGTTTTTGTATATTTATTTATTTATTTATTTATTTATTTATTTTGATAGGGGAGGTGGTAGGTCCAGGGAGGTTCCTGAAAAGTGAAGATGATGAGTACTGAAGAAAACAATGCTCATGTGACCTTCAGAGGAGAACAAGAGCCTAGGAATGAAGACACCCTGCCTGTACAAGGCAGGGGCTGAGCACTGTGTTCCCCACAGAAAAAGCAGACTTCAGTCAGTGGAGAAGCACTTCTGTTAAGTGTGGAATAAGGTCAGAAATTCCATTTCTGCTCTCACTCCTTCCTAGCCTATGAAATAACTTACAGCGTTGCTGAGATTAAACAGAATAATGTCATACAGTAACCACTTAATAACAATATTGTGATTTGCTGTCCTTACTTTTTAAAAATGTGTGTATGTGTTTCGGTGTGTGTGTTTAAGTGTGTGTGTGTGTATGATGATTGTCAAAAATTGCTTAGAGGAAATGTGGGAAATATGGGCAGCCAAATACAAGCCTAAAATCACTCCGAGGAAAAACATTCCTTTCACTTCAGAGCTCTGGTGGTGATGGCTGCCCTCGTGGCGGCAGCAGCGGTGGTGGTAACATAAGCTCTGGAAACAGGACTGGCCTGGCAGTGGAGGGCTGACGGCAGTGCGAGTGAAGTGCACCCCGGGGATATCCAGGGAGGGAAGAATGACAGATTTTAGGACCCAGCACAAGTTGTTGAACGCAGTGCAACATGGTAGAAAGATGAAAGGTTCTGAAGTGTGAGAGGTTCTCTGTAAGTCAGGTGGCCTTAGCCAAATTATTTATTGTGTCAACATCTGTTCTTTCATCTGTGAAGAGCGTGGTGACATTGATGTCAACCTCACAGTGTTTCTGATCTCATTAATAAGAAGCCCGCATAGTTTAGCTAAAGCAGTAAAAGCCCTTAGGAAACACTGGCTCAGAAAGAAAAAAAAGAAACAGATTTAAACAAAACAAATGAACAACAACAACAACCAACCAAACAAACAAACAAACAAGTCAGGCAAAACCAAAACAAAATTCTCAGGCTGCAGGGCAGCAAAACAAAAGATTTTTTCTAACTGAATGCAGTTGTCCAGGAGCTTGACATCATGCACACAGAGAATCCAGGACCACATAAAAAAGCATGTGTTTTAGTCTTTTTCTACTGACTCCGGAGGACCTTCTACATTGTGGCACTTGCTATGAAAGACAAAAGAACAGGTATTTCTTGATAATATTTAGAAGGATGAATTTTTCATTATTAGCTTATTTTTGTCAGAGTGTCAGTGAGATATTTCCTCTGGGCATGCTTTTTACATTTTTGTTTGTTTGTTTGATCCAGTGTCTTGCTGTGTCATCTAGGCTGGGCTTGAACTCACTGTATAGCTCAAGCTGGCCTTGGACTTGTGATTCTCCTGCCCCAACTTCCTGAGTGCTGCGACCCCAGGCCTGGGTCACCATGCCCAGTTTGGACATGTTTTTGTAGCAAAGTTGAGAAACTTCTCAATAAGTAAAATAAAGTGTGCTTTATTTTCAGGGAATTTGTAACAAGCTTTCTTTGAAAATAGCTTATTTGATGAGATGCTTCACAAAAATGGGAAAGGGTCAAAATGAAAATAACACATTTCAGTTGTTCTCAAGGGTAGATCATTAAAGCTCTGCTGGGACAAGCCACTGGGAAAGTGATAAGCAGGCTAGAGAAGGATTTCACTGGCAGCAAGACATCAGGACTGCTGTCTGTGAGCCGGATTTTCACCACAGATTTGATGAGGTGCTGCATATGATAATTAATGGGACTGAATTTTTTCCAGTATATACACAGATTTAAACATTGCCTTGTACCCCCATAAACATATACAATTGTTATTTGCATATTAAAAATCAACTAAAATGCAATGCAAATTAGTAGAATATACCTCACTGTTTATAGGACTAGAGGTTATAACTGAGACCCTGCCTATACTAGGGTCCTCACGGAATACAAAGAAATAACATTGAAATACTGGTACACCAAGCTTGCATGTAATAATTTTAAATGTTTCTGCTTCTATTTCTAGACTTATGAGTATTTAGTTGTGGTATTCTTACAGCAAGAATTGGTCCAAAGGCTGTTAAAAAAAATTTTGACTTGAATACAGAGGCATCCAGAAGAAAGGAGTAAGGGAAGCAAAATAATTAATTTCTAAAGGTTTCAATATAGTTGACTTTAATATCTTTGCATTTGTCCCTACAACGTATGAAATATTTTTGAAAATTGTGGAAGTTTATGTGGGCTCTTTTTGTTTGAGTTTGTTAACTCCACTGCCTCTGGAACACATTATGCAAAACAAAACAAAACACTCCTTAAACGCTAAGGAGATAAATAAGAGTGCTTTTTAGTTCTAGTTGTTGAATCATTCATTGATAATGTTAAATACAAAACAGAAGTAATGTCAAAGGCAGTCTTCTCCACCAAAAGATGGTCAGTGGAGAGTGAGGAGGAGATACAGAGACAGGAGAAAATCTGAATTCTGAAAAGGAAGGTGATATTAACTGGAAAGATATAAATGACCTTCCTGACAGTCCTTATATATAATGGAGTACTACTCAGTCATAAAGAAAGATAAACTGGAGACTTTTATAGGTAAATGGATGAAACTCGAGATCACTCATAAGTGAAATAAATCAGCCTCATTTGTGTAAATATCACATTGTCTCAGTGGTATGAGGAACTGAATGAGTAAATAAGATCCAAAACGTACAAAGGATACTGTGAATTGGGAAGAAACTGTTTAAAAGAAAAGAGAAATAGTGGGGTAAAGGAGAAAGGAAGAAAGAGAAAAAGAAAAAATATATTTGCACAGAAGATAAGATGATTACACAGCTAGTTTCTCCTAGCTCATTGAAAAGAAGTTTGTGCTAATATTGTTTGGACAAGATACCATGCCTATATCTTGTACTCCAAATAACTAATATGAAGACAGCAATATGCAATGTATTAATTATTGCAACTCTCCTACTAACCTGTTTTAAAACTGTTTTATTGTTATTTTTATTTTTTTCTCTTTAAAATAAAAAAGAACTCTGTTGAAAGACAGGTAGGAGGAGACTGTGAGTCCTATTACTTCTGTTCAAATGAGAATGTATTATTTGCTGATTGTTGAACTTTTAAACATTACTTGGCACCTTGTATTCTAGTATCTTCATCTCTCACAAAGTGGTAATAGATTCTGACGCATTCCTTAGGGATATAAAACACATTACTAAACAGAACTCATTTAAAATGTCACATGACATCTAGTAACTCTAGAGGACTAGAAGTTGTCATTTTCATGGAAAAGTATGGCTGTAACTTGGGCATGTGTGTTCATGTTCACTTTGTAAATTCTCTCATGGACTTGTTTTCTAAGGTTATGCGTTTACTTTTATCTTCTTCCCATCTTGTATACATTGTAACAATTCATATGAGCTTGGCTGCCAGCCAGGCATCTGACCCTAATGACTGAGGAAACAGAGATGTAATATAGAGGAAACAAACTTTTTTTCATGGATTAGATACACTCGAACTGGTGACTTCTGAATCAAATTATGAAAGTTAATATGTTTGGGATAAAAATAGCTAAACATGTTTAAGTATGGACAGTTTTGAAGTAATCCTTTTAACTATGTCCTTCACCGAAAGTAATAGAATGGAATACTGAAACTAATTCGATTTTGACAGCCTGATTTTCTGTGCTGTTTTAAATATCGTTCAATCATAGCTTGTTAAGGACATGTGTGGGGTAATGGAAAGTTGATTGCCTTTGGAATTAGAATAATACTTTCCCAACTGCTGTCTGTAGGAAACTGGACTAACAAGATGTTTATGAGTATTCTGTGGAAAGAGAGGCCTTCTGCCAAAGAAGTAGGAAACTGTAGAATTAGCACATTGGAGTTCAGAATCTGTCTGCCATTTATAAAATATTTAACTTGAAGAAATTACAAGCCTAAGAGCACATTTTGTGAGAAATGAAAAATAGTATCTCACAAGTTTGGTTTTGGATGAAATAAATCAGGTAGTAAACATGAAAGACCAGAGAAATGTATCTTCAGTATAGGCTGATGAAGCCAACATTTACTTTTATAATAAAATGGATCTGGATTTGGGAATTCTATTCATATTAATGTGGTTCAGATTCAAATTAAGAGAAAAATAATTTCTAGAGGAATTGAAAAATTATTTGCTTATATGGCAGAGTTTTGTCTGCTATGTCAAAATTAAATATAAAGAAGAAATTGGTATTCCTAATAAAGCTTTAAAATATTTTTATTGCAAAGGTATATTTTATCCTTGAGTTTTTTCTATAGAATATTTTTTATATATTTTAACAATGAGTAAGACAAGACAAGACAAAACAAGAAAGCATAGAAAAAGAAAATACATCAGGGTGAGATTTAAATAAAATGCAGGAAAAGTCTAACACCTTATAACATTAAGCCACTAATTAAGAATGTAAATAACTATGAAATAGTTTACGCATTTAAAGAATGGGGAAATGTTTTCTCCATGATGATGTGATAGGTATTTGAAGCAATAGATATGTTTAAGTTCATTTAAATATTACAGAGTAGACATATGGATCAAAACATCATATTGTACCCAACTAATAGGTACAACTTTTATGTTTTTCATTAAAAACAGTACTTAAAAAAACTATACTCTTCTAAAAGAAAAACAGATAATAACATATATTGAAAACAATGAGGAACAACCAGAAATCTCACATACTGCTACTGGGACTGTGAAGCGATACAACCAATTTGGAAAAATATTTGGGGTGTCCAGTAAATATGAACATCAACTTACACCAATATCCACAGCTATACATATGCTTTCCAGGAGGCATGTGCTAGAATCAAAGTAGAATCACTTGTAATAGTTCTAAAGTGAGGGACTGTTATGGAACAAGAGAACGAGTGATCTGCAGTTGAAGCAATAATGCAAATGCATCTCACGAATAAAATGTGAATGAAAAACTGTACACCTGAGAGAGCACACACTATATGATTTTATTTATGTAAAATCAATACAGCCAATTTATGTAGAACTTTGGGGGCTGATGGCCTTGGAAAGTTGGGAACTGGAATGGGTGGCATAAGGTGCATGATTAGGTGCTGCTTCTATTGATGTTGTTGGTTTGTAAAACTGGATTGAGCTGTAAAATTAGGACCAGTGCACTTTTCTGCTTACTTTACTAAAAAGATGAACAAGGACATTTTTAAAAAGTAAAAAAAGATTTAGTTCCTAGACTACTTGAAACTTCAAAACAGAAAATTATCACTAAGTTTTATCTGATTCATTTAGTAAATGTTCCTGCTTTATCTAAAA